CTCCTGTTCTCCCAATCGACTGCACTCAGCATACCCCTATCACCCCGAGTCCTTCGCCCCCCTGTTTTCTCCGTACTTTGATCAGCGGCGCTTGTCAGTCAGAGTCTCGCGTGTCTCAGCCAATATGGCTGCCCTGACACGAGTAGGGTGGAGGACCAGGCATAACAATGGAGGAGGAGAAGAGGTAGAGACAAGTTTGACGGAGTCACCTTGACTCCTACGACAAACTTTGTTTTGCAAATCATAATGACGAGTAAGCCTTGAGCACCAGCGGCAGCAGATAACATAGCTGTGGATGGGGCAGCAAGAAAGAGCAGTGTGCCGATGAAATAAACGGATGGTGGTAAAGGACCATTTACAAAATACCATTTTATTTATATTTATATTTGAGTTACCAGAGTCTATACAACTAAAAACTAAACCAATATAAAATAATTAAGACATTTCTCTGTATTCAGAACTGATTTAGATGAATTGATGCTATTATGTCTGTACCTCAACTGGAACTAGAACCAGGAACTCTTGTCATTAAAATTAAGATCAGTTGTTTAGATGGGTGGAACTTGTATTATGACATATCCTGGCTCTGCCTCATACTCTGGCTAACCCACAAGCTCTTTAAGGGGCTACATCTATTTTTAATTTAGCTGAACTCTTTCTCTCACCCCAACCGGGTAGCAGATGGCCCCGCCCCTCCCTGAGCCTGGTTCTGCCGGAGGTTTCTTCCTGTTAAAAGGGAGTTTTTCCTTCCCACTGTCGCCAAAGTGCTTGCTCATAGGGGGTCATATGATTGTTGGGTTTTTTTCTCTGTATGTATTATTGTGCGGTCTACCTTACAATATAAAGCACCTTGAGGCGACCGCTGTTGTGATTTGGTGCTGAATAAATAAAATTGAATTGAATCAGTCATTTAACCGGAATATGTGTAACATAGTCGCTCATTCGGCTCCTGGTCCGTCACAATTTACAGGTTTGTAATGTGTGAAGTGAGGTTTTTACAGTGAATATATCTTTGTATCTGTCCTCTTTTGAAAGCACGGTATGTATATGCGGGGCTAGAAGCTTTCACAACAGCCTGTTCCTACAGGTGGGTGGATCGATCAATACTGTGTTTATAACCCTTAAGTTGAGTATGTAGCCCACTGAATTTTTCAAAAAGAAATTATTTTTTGAAAGTAGAAATGAGCAATGTCTGAATGTTTTTATGTTGACTGTCACATCCATTTTATTTTTAGCCTTTAGCACACATTACATGAGATACATGAATAATATATGAAAAGTCTGTTTTGTTGTGTTAACTAATTGTTGTGGAAAGTAAATTTAGTGGTCATTAGGATGTGTTTAGCTTGCACATTTCATCTTATAAGTCATGACACACCGATCTCCCCCACATAAGCTGCCTTTATAGGTTAAAAGTATCAGTATTGGCAATACTGGCCCTATATTTACTTTGTATTGGATCCATACCAAACTATCACACACTCCTACCGGTTATCTTAATGTGTGGAGTTCAGGGGCCATCTGTAAATTGTAGCTATGGACAAAAAAACCACAGTTCCTCTCACCCGGAGTTGTGTGAAGCAGAGAAAAGCACTAAATCCTCACCTATCAGAAGCTCCATCAAGCAAATATTTGAAATTTAAATGACTCAGATGATGAACCAATTATCAGACTTGACTGTTCATTTTCTGTCAGTCAGCTAATCCACAGATCCTTTCAGAGCTAATAAACTTAAAACAGTTTTAATCATTACATAGAAATGCTTCACAGGGCAGCCTGTCAGTCATGCACAGAACAAATTATGAACAGTTTTAAATCGTATTTATAGCAAACAACTATTAAACATGCACATTTTTTTAATATTGAGCCATTTATACTGTGGCCTGCATTAGTTCACAGGAACATCAGAATAATTCTGGCCTACAGATGCAGTGGCATTTAATAATTTCAACTTCTGTGCCTTAAACGCATTAAAGTGAAGAAGAACACGAGTCATATACCACCAATAACTATGCAGTCGGTGGAGGCAATAGATTTCACGTTAATGCTGGATTGCTCGTGGAAATGATAGATGACAAATTTTATATTAACTGTCAAGAAAAATCACTCTCTAATTTATGAAATAGTCTTCACAGTGGGATTACAGAGAAAGAGGGAGAAAAGTGAGTAGCAGACATTTGTTGAACGAGACTGAAGGAGGTGACAGGTTGTAAGAATGGAGTGGCGACAGAGAGGGAGTGACGGGGGGCAGAGCGAGAAATAGAGCGGAAGTCAGAGTTTCACGGCCCCGCTGGTGCCCTCAACCATGAACTCTCTCTCACACACACACAAACAAACTCATAGAAGAAAGGAAATTAAAACTTGGTGAGTCTTTGGAGAGTGATAAACATTGTGCTCCCATATGCCACTCATATACTCACTCGTCTCTTTGTGTGTGCGCGCTCGCATGTTTGCTTGCTTGCTTCAGTTGTTTGCTTCGGCTGCAATGCCCGACCAACAAGCCACTCACCTGCCAGTTTACAACTCCCATCACGCCATGCTTCGCTGTTCACAGACACCCCTCTTTTTGTCTCACCACTCCCTGCACTCTCCGTTATTCACTTTTTCATTGTTTCTCACGCACACAAACAAACGCGCGTGCACACAGACGCTGTTAATTGCATAATTGTAAAAACTGGTTTAACTAAGTGGGAGGCAAAGCGAGAAGGAAACCGAGCGACAGGATATGTACGCAGAGGCGTGGGGAGAATCAATCTGTCTGCAAAAACCTAACAATGTTGTGGGGGGGGGGGAAAGAAAAAAGACAGAACGAGAGAGCGAGAAGACAATTTCTGTTTTTTTCGAACATCAAATCTCTGTTCGTTTCTGTATATCCATTATTAATCTGTTTGTTCCTTCCTTCTTGGAGGGAAATTCAATTATCACAGAGGAAAGGCAGTTTCTGATAATTCCTGCAGAGTTATGGCTCACTGTTATCCACTGCATAAATGAGCATGGTGATTAAAGATCAGCTCGTACAGTTGATTACAGTACCTGGCGAAATATGGAACATGGCACGGTCTGTGTTATTTAAATGCAATAAGTTAACTGACCAGTGTTTCTCCCTGATTGACTGTTTTGTGGGGCGGGTGATCGCCACTGCGCCGACCTCTGAACCACTCTCTGTACTGTGTATGAGAGAATAATGGATGGTTTGTCAGTAAATGCACTTCCTCTTCTGCCTTTGAAATGAAGTTAGGGTCTGAAACTCGTGTGCTGCTGAGTTATAGCCGCTGTTATACGGTCGAGGAAGCACTGCTGATGATACATTGCTGAGTTATTGGAACGTACAGTGCCGTATGTACAGCCTTTGGCATTTTACTAATCCACCTGTGCCAAAGAGACTGCAAAGTTTAATATCAAATTATAGGACGTGTGTGTTTCATGATTTTGAGCACTGCAGTGCTCCATTTGTTTTTTGTTTTTTTCTAATACCACGCACTATTAAAGTGGACACATCAAGGCGCACACTTGCAGAATACTCATTAATTTATGGGATTATTAGGAGTGTTTTTCTTGCTCTAGTCTTGCCTTCCCTGTGCGCTGACCACTCATGTTCCCACATTTCTGAGCCAGGAAAAGCCTGCTAGTGAACATAGAAATTCATGGGTGCAATTCCATACTTAAATTGCATTGGTTAATCAGGCTTGTCAATAAACTTGTCAGTTTGTTATCCTGTTTATGTAGTGGTCACTTGGTAGCAAAATGTCCAGTTTTGATCTCTATTTCAGTTCTGAGAAGTTGAATTGAAACAGGAAAACAGGAAGGGCTTTGCAAGACTCAGCTAGGAGATTTTATTTTCCTGAATTTCTGACAAGTTACAAAAAAAATAAAAAATGGAGAGAAAAATTTCACGTATTGCTGTCAATCTCAAGAACAGGGGAAAAAAGCAATGCTACAAAATATGATTAAAAGTGTCTGTCCAGGGGAGATAAGGTTACAGAGCCCTGCCGCACTTGCATACAGACTGCCTCTCGCTCTCTCAGTCACTCCTATACTGTTTGCATCTCTCTCTTTTCTCTGCACTTTTGGTTGCCTTTTCTTGCCGTCAGACTGAAGCTGGGTCCTCTTACACAGCTCCTGTCTTCCTGCCTTTGGTTGATTTTTGACTTACAGATTCATGCAAATGTTTGGTTGTCACTCCAAGCTATTTATACAGGACTTTTTATTTCTTCCCCAGCTGTTGTCACAAATAAGCCTTGCCCCGAGCTTTATTTGAGACTCAGTCTGGCTGTCTTTAATACCAGCACATTTGTTTGGAACAGCAAAATTTTAGGTGTCCAGTTAAACCTTGCTGTTCCCTAAAATAACACATGTTGTAACCTAACTTGTCAAAATGCCTCCAGAAAAGTCCTCATACCAGGATGTACTTTGAATATTGTGTTCCTTCTTTAAGGGACCGTATACTCCTAAGTCACTTGCATTCAAAAGGCCTTGGTAATTATCCCCTCTGTGATGGTGCTCTGGAGAAAAATGAATAGAACAGGGAACATCTTATCCTTTGTCTTACTCCCTTTTTAATTCCCTCTGCTCATTGCAGAGTTATAAAAAAAGTAAGCCACCATACATAACGAGCAGCTGAAATAAAAAGCTGTGCAGAGGAAAAGGGGATTTGTATCTTTCTTTCTCGCCCTGCAAATGTAAATTTCTGGATTTTGACAGGAAAAGAATGTTTTATATTCTCCCATTTTTTTTCTATTTTTTCCCCTCTGTCTCCTTTTTCGTATGCGTGGCTAAATACATCATGCAAAACTGCTTCCAAATCTTCCCTAAAATGAAATTGTGATGAAAGACTGGAGTGTTTGAGCTTCTCCGAGATGCTTTGCTCGCACTCTTGAGCTTCCGTTTGAACAATATAACATATCTGAGATGTAGGTGTTGTTTGTTTTCATGCTGCAAAATGTTAAACTTGTGCTAAATCAACATCATATGTTGTTTTTTTTTTTTATCTCGCTCACCAGGCTGAACCAGAGGGCTTCTCCCATTTTCACCTGTATGTGTGTGCGGCCTTCCTGGTGAGGTGGAGGAAAGAGATCCTGGAGGAGAGGGATTTTCAGGTAACGGACACAGACACAGAAGGCAATGGTGTTGATATTGACATTTGTTTACATAATATGAATATTTATAAATGCCATACTTTGGTTATAGGGGCCTGGGGTGGATGTAAAATTGTGTTTCTATGAGAAAACTTGTTTTTAAATCATAGACCGTCCACAGTAGTGCATATACAGCACTGTGCAAATTTCTTTTGGTTGCCTTGGAACAATAGAAATGGATATTTATGAAAACGTGCAAGCATATGTGGAAATATAACAATGTGAATTTCAGATACTGTTCATCGTGTGATTCGATCCATTTTAGCTGCTACTTCTTTTGTTTTCTGAGCCTTTGGTGGCTCAGAAGTTGCTTTTTGCAGATGATGTGGTTCTGTAGGCTTTATCAGATGGTGGGCTCGAGCTTGCCCTGGAGCAGTCCTCCAAGTTTGACACCATGGTCCACAACTGGAAAAGTTGGGAGTTCCCACTGCAAGTCATGGGCAAATTACTGCCCCAGATGTCTTGGGAGCTTGGAGAGGGCAGTGGGAGATTGACAGATGAATTGCGGCGATGGCTCCAGTGATGTAGACACTGGACCAGTTTGTCGTGGTGACAAGAGAATTGAGTATTAAAGCAAAGCTGTTCATTTACTGGTCAATAGTGAGCGAAAGGACGAAATTGCAGATATGAGAGGTGTGAAAGAGCTTTCTCTAAAGCAGTGGTTCTCAGGCTTTTTACATCTTCCCCCACAAAGCAGGAAGAAATATTTTCAGGCCCCACCTAAACAAAACAATGACAGAAAAGCCTAGCTGCAACTTTATTTAGATAATAAACTCATTCACAATAATGCCTTTGGTAATTTTTTTTTAAACAAACAACTTTCATTTCAAAGAACTATTTGTAACTTTTGTAACTAGACTGCTTCATTAGTCTGCACCACTTCTTCAAAAAAGCATCAAGTTAAACAGAATGTGAATATTGCCAAACATGGAAAAATAAAGTTCAGTCTTAGTCTTAAAAAAAAGAAATCCAGAAACTTGTGAACAGAGATAAAAAAAACACCCAGCACGCCCCTGCGGGCGGTTTATCCTTCAAGCTCGGGTCCTCTACCAGAGGCCTGGGAGCTTGAGGGTCCTGCGCAGTATCTTAGCTGTTCCCAGGACTGCGCTCTTCTGGACAGAGATCTCCGATGTTATTCCCGGGATCTGCTGGAGCCACTCGCCTAGCTTGGGAGTCACCGCACCTAGTGCTCCGATTACCACGGGGACCACCGTTACCTTCACCCTCCACATCCTCTCGAGCTCTTCTCTGAGCCCTTGGTATTTCTCCAGCTTCTCGTGTTCCTTCTTCCTGATATTGCTGTCATTCGGAACCGCTACATCGATCACTACGGCCGTCTTCTTCTGTTTGTCTACCACCACTATGTCCGGTTGGTTAGCCACCACCATTTTGTCCGTCTGTATCTGGAAGTCCCACAGGATCTTAGCTCGGTCATTCTCCACCACCCTTGGGGGCATCTCCCATTTTGACCTCGGGACTTCCAGGTTATACTCGGCACAGATGTTCCTGTACACTATGCCGGCCACTTGGTTATGGCGTTCCATGTATGCCTTGCCTGCTAGCATCTTGCACCCTGCTGTTATGTGCTGGATTGTCTCTGGGGCATCTTTACACAGCCTGCACCTGGGGTCTTGCCTGGTGTGATAGACCCCAGCCTCTATGGATCTTGTGCTCAGAGCTTGTTCTTGTGCTGCCATGATTAGTGCCTCTGTGCTGTCTTTCAGTCCAGCTTTGTCCAGCCACTGGTAGGATTTCTGGATATCAGCCACCTCCTCTATCTGCCGGTGGTACATACCGTGCAGGGGCCTGCAACCCAGGATCGCAAGTTCGATTCCTGCCTGGGGCGTCTGTATCCAGTAAGGGTCCTAAGGCTAGACCCCCTATGCTAAGCGAGCCTACCGCAGACATGAGCGAGACAGATAAATATGAAGGCATGCCGGCTCGGACGTCGCCCGGATCAACAAGGTCCGCGTCAGGTGTTGAGGAACCAGGGCACCCTGACGAAAAGTGGGCTACTGGAACAAGAAGGCATCGGTGGGCAAGAGACGAAAACAGGGCGTTGTTGGAATGCTACTACGCAAGTAACCCCGGCGGAAGGGGCTACATGAATAGGATGACGGACCTATGATCTGATACCCTCCACATGAGAACAATATAGTAGTTATAAAATTGATATATATATATATATATATAATATTTATAATAAACTTTATATATATATATATATATATATATTTAGTGAGAATGTAATACTGTTCACCCTTAGTGACTGCAGTGAGCCTGTTTTTGACTGCACAGCTGTGGTGGGGCGTGGTCTGCTGCGGGGAAGGCGGATGCACCTGAACGGCACCCCCAATCACTCAAAGTAGATTTGCTATTTCTCCACATCGAAAGGAGCTGGTTGAGGTGGTTTCAACATCTTCTGGGCACGTCCTGGACAAGATGTTCTGGGAATGTCCTACTGGGAAGAGACCAGGACATACCAGAGAGATTATATCTCTCGGCTGGCTGGGAAACTCCTTGGTGTTGTCCTGGGTGAGCTCAAGGAGGTGGCTAAAGTGAGGGAGGTCTTGGTTTATATGCTTAGGCTGCTGCTACCACGGAGCGGTTAAAAATGGATGGATTGGACTTCTTCTTTAATCTTCCACTTGTCCACTTTCCTCAGATTTTTTTTATCCACACACTGCACACCATGTTGAGGTGCATCAAGTGTTTTGGGAGTCACCTTGCCAGTGCAAAATAACTTTATCATTCCTGTTGGACTGTGTTAACAGAAACTGGAACAAATTATGGTTTTGTTAGACAGGCTGCTTGTTACAAAGCACCTAAAGACACATTTTAAAACAGGCTTTTTGCTAAATGTACTATTATATGTGTTTGAATGATTCATAGGTTAGTGTTAACCAAGTTCAATAAAACAAAAACAATAAAATCAAAATGGTCAGATACAAGGACTGGTCTGAAAATGAGTGGGGGAAAGTAGCCAGAACACCTGGAGAACTTCTGCTCAGGAGCACTTTTTAAAAAAGTAATAATAAATTCAGACTCCTTGGAAGCAAAATATTTAAAAAAGTGATGGGTGGCTCAAGACTTCTGCACAGATCGGTGAATTAACTAGGGTAATTGTTGTCGCTTGTGTCTATATGGGGGAATAAAAAAAAGATCTTAAAAAATAAAATTCCCAGCTGCTTAGTCCCAGCAGGGGATTAGTTTAGGCTTGGAATAATTCTGCAGCAACTGTGTGGTAATGATGGCAGAAAAATCGAAACCCTTTCGGCTGCAGAGAGAGCGATTTGCACTCTGAGCACCAAAATACTTCAGATTTTGGTCAGTAGACGGCAAAACTGCAGAACCTTAACTGTGTCGACTGAAGTGTTATTGAATAAACCTTTTGAAGTAACTAACAGGAGACTCTTCACACACAGCACGTCCCAGAGATAATTGTTGTTCCATAGTTTTCGAGGCAGAACTTGCTCAGTGTGTTGAATTTCCACTTCAGATTTTACAAGTTGTGATACTTGAGAGGTTCAAACCTGTGTGGGCTGTCCGAACGCTACAGATGTACACAGGAAGTTACACACGGTGCTGGTTTTTCTGTCCAGTTGGTGATGCTGGTGGTGATTTACTCTATGCAGATGAATCTGTCGGTTGTGCGAAAGCAATATTAAAACAGTCTGCCAGACTGCGGAGTTGTTCATGGCCTACATCCCTCTCCATTACCTCCCTGGTCATTAACTGCGAGGTTCAAAAGTCGTTGTGAGTGCATTAGTAGATGACAGTAGACAGCTGCCAGAAGGTGACTTTGGTTGCCAGCTCACTGGGGGGACTTGCCTTCTTAACGGTAGCAACACATTCTAGCATCGTCACATATAAACCTCATCTCTGCTCTTTGGCAGCTCTCTCTGATTCTCTGTCTTGTTGTATTCTTCTAACTTATCCGTTTGGGGTTTTCTCAGTGCTCTGTTCTCTATTTTTCTTCTTTTTAACATTTCCCTCTACTTTCTCTGCTCCTTCCTTATCTTATCTCTGACCTTTCTCTCTTGTTTATTGTTGATGTCTTGTAGTCCTTTGAGTCCTCTCACTTGTGTGTTCACGAGTCAGAAATATAAAAAACATCATAAGGAGGAGGATGAGACTGAGAAGTAATCTTACGTGATACTTGAGATAACATTGACATGGAGGATATAAGATGCTCACAAGCTGCTTTGACTGTCCAGACAGCTGAGCAGATCTGCTTTGCTAAACACAAGTGTTAGGATTGGACAGATGGACACTTTGTAATGCTTGTGCCTGCATAAGTGTCGTCGCTAGGTGTGAGTTTCTCTTCTAACCACTATGTGAAGCTCAAAAATACACACTCTTTTAAGCTTGCACAGTGTTTACATTATAACTTTTTGTCTTAAATGTGCTTTAAGTGCATGTGTGTGTATTTGATTTGATTTTGTATTGTGCACATGAATGCATGCACAGACACATATTTACACTTCCAACTTTAAAGTGTGACTTTCTGACTGGTTTTGCATGCGGCCGATGCAGTGGCAAACAAGGGCAAACAGTCTGTTCTCATGAAAAAGACAGAGAAATGTGAGGTTTTGAGGAACGAGAGAATCTTAATGGGAGAGTAAGAACAGATGCAATTTTAGAGCCACGGAGGAGAGAAGTTTTTGCACCGAGACCATAAATACGTTGTTGCACACTTTCCTCTTGTTGTTCCTGAGACAGTTTTATTTAGACCAGTCTTACGGATGATTAATTAAAGCCTAGCCTGCTTTGGTTTGCAGCTTGCAGGCACTTGAGGCTTGAGGCAATAACCACATTTCAGAATGAAGCCAATAAACAAAAGGACTGCAGTATCTGGTTTCCAAAAACACTGAAAGCACAGCTGCCTCTTGGTTGGAAAATATGTAAACTGTGTTATCTATGTTAAAGAGGTATATTTTTACTCGTATTTCTGAATTATG